CCTAAGCTTCGGGCATGAAGTTCACAGCCCAACTGCTCCAAAACGCGACGTGTGGTATGGCAAGGCCCTGTTTCCTTCTACAAATGGGCTGTGGTCTAAACTCCTTAAAGGGGGTTATATAGGGGATTATATAGGGGACCACTATAGCGATTATTAACGGGGATGCTACACATGGGTTTCAGGATTTTAGAGGGGCTCATGGAGTAGAGACTTGTCTTGGCGAATTGAAGGCTTCCACTCTATGGCACATGCATCATCATACGACAACCTGGCGTACATAGCACGTTTCATCCTATGGAAACGTTTCTGGGTAAGCTTATCCTTTGTAGATTGATCAACAGGCACCAGGACGGCTGTTACATACACTCTAATGAGTAGCATTTCTTTGGGGGTATTATGGTACCCAATATAGAGTAAGATTATATCCTCCTTTTGGGCATCGTATTTTATACAAGGATTATAATCTTACTAGGTTCAGCCGCCAAAAAATGCTACTCTGATGGGCTTGTTGATAGCTTTACAAGATTTGCAGAGCTCTTTGGGCTTAATTCTCTCGCTTGTCATGTTTATGTGTTTATGCTGGCTGGCCAGTCGATGCGCATGATGTCAAGAAATTTCTTAGGGTGTGTCGGGATTGCCATTCTATAGCAAGTATGGTTCTGGCGGCTATGCTTGCCATTGCATGTGCTTCTCCAGAAGCTCAACACCTGCATTCGAAAGGACCTGAGGATCGAATCCTTCATGTTTGAAGAGGGAACTAAACCCTAAATAGTAGTTTCCATTCCATTTTCCATTATCCCTCTATAATCCCAATATTATACCGCGATATACTACGCTTCCCCCTCCTCATGATGCATCCCTGTCGGAAATTCTTACTGGCATGCTCCAACCGTTTTCGCTCTTGAGTAATGCTCTACCTAGCATTCCAGCAGTTCAAATTTTCCAGCTCCGAATTGTGATGTCTTTGGGCTGTACCTCATCGCCGGACGCTCTTCCACCCTGACCGGCTGCGCTGTTGCCAGACTCTTATGTCACATCTCTCGAGCATGTGCTTTAGGACTCTCGGTTAGGCCCCCCCAGTAGAGATGGACGAATGCTGGCAAGAACCTTAACACCCAATCCTCGTCTGGAGTAGAACGATATTTGGGTACATACTATGTGTACTATAAACGATGATGGACTGAACTCTTAATGATGTTGCTAGTTCTCCCTGCCTCTACATGAGACTGCTCACCCAACGATACTTCTCGTGATGATTTCTCAAGCTATCAGGGTCCTTGATGTAGGGCAGGAATGTGATCTAGATTCAATCCCTGTAGCATCTGCATACATACAGTTCCCTGTGTTTTTCATAACATCCTAGACATGCCCGTGTAATACCGATTCGTACATTTGGTTAGTTGTCACGATTATCCGGAATCGAACCACTCCCTTATACTAACCTGCCCTACTTCCTAACAACAAAAGCCTCCACCATAGTACCGTTGCGTCATTTTATACTGGTGGAATATGTATTTTCAGGCCCCTGATTAATTCTATTCATGTATCCTATTCTATTTGTTAAGAACCACTTGTATTTTCAAAGCCGGCCGGGAAGGCGACGGTCTTGCTTCGCAGCATTCCTTACGCGTCCCTGGGTGATGTTTGATTGGGGGCTGCCTGAACCCTCAACCCTAAAAGGCCCTAAAACCTAAACCCTAAACCCAAAACCCCTAAACCCTAAACCCAAAATTCCCACCCAGGCCTGCTTAGGTCGTACCCACTTGGACCCAGAATTATATCCGGCAGGCATTCGCACCATTGCTTGGAGCCACTATGCAAGCCTAAAGAGTTTGTAGTCCAAAAACCCGCAGGTTCCGAGGGCCCCGACCCCCCAGGCCCTCGGAGGCCCTGAGACCTTTGAGGTGCCCGAGGTTTCTGGAGCCGAAAGGCTGCAAGCCAGACAGGCCTTCCAAGGCTTTTCGAGGCTCCTGGAGGCCCGCGGAAGCCCCGCCACATTGTTTTATTCAAGAAATGAAAGAGGAGTGGGAAGGGAAGAATAAACCAACACACCAGTTCTTGGTTTGTTGGGTACGAGAGATGTGCCGTCGCAAGATATGCCGCCCCCCCCACATTTCTGGGTGTGTCGGGGCGCCATTTCTACATGTTACCTCCAGCCGCCGCGCAGCAAGACACCCTAAACCCTAAACCCTAAACTCCTAAACCCCTAAACCCTAGCCCTCATTTTGGGATCGTGAAAACGATTGTAGCATCTCGGTTTTTAGAGGGGGTGATAGTGGTGTCGTGGTTATGAGGTCAGCGGTTAGCGTTTAGCTAGGTGCCGGTTGTTCTGTATCTCAGTCAATAGTCGTTCAAGGACAAGGAAGCTTCAATACCTTAGAAATGCAGTACCTTTCGATTCAAGTGCTGTTATGAATAGGTGTGGGTCTCCCTGCTTATTTCAAATTGGCAAAAAGGGGGAGGGCCCCTGACTGGCTTCATCCCTTCCCCTGTGCTTATGCATCGACCCTGAACTCCTTCAATTCAACTTTCCCTTTTCAATGTTGTGGCTTGAAGAGGTAGCTTTGCTTGAACCTTGGCAGTGGGCACTGAGGATTCTTATATGCCTGGCATCCTTTACCTTCGGCTTCACTGCTATGCACGTCATGGATGAGCTTGGCAAAGCATTTGGAAGTAAAGGGCTATGAGGATCACAGTATCATTCCTGTTTTTTTGTTAGAGTTCTTCATGCCCGCGCGAAAAAATAGCACACAATCCCAACAGGGCCACGCTTGTGGCACGTACATTTATTGGGCTTGCAAACGCGCAGGAGAAGAAGTTCATTTCAGGTGCTGTGCGGCTTGTGTATAAGGACTGGACCTGCTTGGGTCCTCATTCATAAGGACTTGCCACACTCGTTCAGGGGTGTCTCCGCTTGATGTGTAACAAATACCTGGCTACAAAGCACGGAGGCTCAGTGATCTCTGTTGCGTACCTATGGGCCAGAAGTAGGACATGCATGTGTCGGGCTTAGGCCTAGGGTTTACGGTATTCGGCTTAGGGTTTAATTCGGACTTAGGGTCGAGGGCTTACTTAGGGTTTAGGGTATTTGGCTTAGGCTGGCTTGGACTTTCGTCCTAGGCCTGGGGCCCAGAGTCCATAGTTTTGGATGCAGGTGGAGGGTTCGGGGCTCTTATGGTTTAGTATGGTGTACACACTTCGTCCTAACTTAGGCGTGCGCAGATTTGACCCAAGCTTACTCAGGAATGCTGGCATCTGGTCATACAGCTGGACTACCTGGCGATCGCTTGCAATATCTTGTGTGCTATCTCCCTGTACAAGCGCCTACTTTCTGGCAGCTCTGCTTTATGAAAGGATTGGATGTGAGAGTGGAACCGCTTCGGATGCTAACCGTGAAGGCGGAAGGTTTGTGGAACAGTCAGCAGATTTTTGTTTGACAATTTCTTCTCATGTCGGCACCAGATGCTGTTTTTTTTTGCCATGCTCATCCTATACCCTGGGCTTGCATCCAAATCACTCCACCAGTCTGGCCCGAAACGTGTAAACCTGGACTCCAAAGCGCAAAATCGGTCACTGCCACAGAAAGACAGAAAGTGATGATCAGTCCAAGGTACCAGGGGCGTGACGGTCCGCAATTGGCAAATGGCGACTGCGTTCTATTTTCCTTGGCCCCTTGTTGAGTCAAGAGTAACACTTTCGGGATTTCTGGTGAAATTCGATTTTGGCATCATAAGAGCATAAGGGTTAAGCCCCGTACTGATATTCGGCAAGGTTTAGGATCACGTACCCAGTTCTCAATCTAGCGGCTACGAACCCTTCACACGCTCACTGCCGGCCTCCTCTGTGGTTCTCTCATCGGGTTCTCCGCCAGCGGGTTTTCTAGAAATGCTAGGACGGAGTTCTGCATCTAGCCTCTCGTGACGCAGCCTCGGCTTGCCAACACCCGGCTTCTACTTGGTAGTTTCCATGAATAGGGGGAACCCAAATATAGACCCCAAATTAACATACTCCTTATCATTGGGACCCCAAAAATGGTAGTACTAAATTTTGGGAATCCTCCAAATCCTAAACCTTACATATCCCTGTATACCCCATATCCCCCGTCTAAAGATACCCCCAAGTTTGGGAAACCACCCCACTTATGTAAAGTCGCTGAAAATGGCGCCTGGGGTTGGCTACGTGCCCACAATCCCTACGGTATCCCTATTGGTGGTTAAGGGGGAGTGGGGGCGTCAATATAGGGAATGCAGGAATATACAGGCTTCAGAGCTTGAGGTTTAGGAATTGGGGTTCAGCGTGTAGGGTGGGGGAGTGACTCTAGGTACCATTCTAGGGCTATACATGGGGTCTATATAGGGATCCACTCCCCAACCCTTCCTAAATAAGCCCTAAACCCTAAACCCTAAACCCTAACCCCTAAACCCGAACCCTAAACCCTAAGTATCAGGCTGTGCGCCACGTTTTTGCAGACAGTTGGCTTTAGCTGCGGTGAGCAGGCCCTTGAGATCACATTAACGATCCAGGGTTTAGGGTCCAGGGGTTTAGGGTTTAGAGTTTAGGGCATTCAGGATTAAGGAGTTGGAGATTCAGGGCTTTGGTTTTGGCCTCTTGAAAAAATGGTTTGGCTTATGTCAAGTTGTTGGGGCGGCGGTGTTCCCCTGACGATCTTGAGCGGTCCGCCCGAATGTGATTCAGGAGGTTTGGGTTGAAACCTGAGCTGTGACGCCGTGAGGTTGTTTCCCTAAACAAGGGGACCCAATACAGACTCCAAAATCCGATATTCCTTTTTAAGGGAACCCCCCAAAAAGTGCTCCTAGTTTGAGGAAACCCCATAGGCTTGCTAGCTGGGATCCTCATTCCTGAATCCTGTATTGAGTCTACAGAGTTTGTTTCAGATAGACAGAAGCCTCCTTAAAGCTACTGTGTCAGAGGCGCGAGATGGATACTACTCGACGCGCCTGGTGTATTTCTGCTACAGGGCCTTACTCTCCATACCGCTGATGTGCCCGTACCACTGTGCCGTGGGGGAGCTGCTGTGCTCAGGACTTGTAGGTCTGGAGGTACAGAGCTCCGAAGACAGAGCTGCCATGATGACCATCGAGCTAGCTTTTTTACTTCTGGTCTTCTTCGGGGTGACCATCTTCGGACAGCAGCTCATCTACTGGAGCATGTACAACGCTAGAAGGGCAGAAGAGGCACTGTCCGCAGCAGTAGAAGCTCGTCATGGCCTCATCGAGAAGCTGTGTGATGCCGAGATCGAGTTGTCTGGTGAGTTAGGTCTGCTGGAAGCAAGCCCATCCTTCCGAGCCATTGTCGGTACCCAGCTCTCTTCAGCATTGTGTTTTTTTTGTGGAGTCGAAGGCTGTCTTTCGTTGCCTGCAGGATTTAGATTTCACTTCCGAAGGTGTGGACTTGGCCGAATGGAAAGGGACCTTCCTGGACTTCCTGGTAGCTGGAGATGTGCAGCGCGTCAAAGAGTTCCTTCAGAACGCAGGTAAGCAAGGGGCCAGCAGTTGTATCCACGCCACGCTGAAACGACGTGATGGTTGTGGCATTGAGGCACGTCCCCAGGCAGCACAATGATCATTGTTTGGGACGCCTTGTAGGCAAACTCTAAACCACAAACCTGAAACGGTACTTCAATCTTGTTGCTGTCAAGCTGAGGCTTCTACCATGCGGAGCAATCTGGCCGGTCTGATGCTTGCAAACACCGCTTGGCCTTGCTGGTGTTGAGCAACACGGAGTCTTGATAGTCTTGAGCAGTTTTGAGCAATTCTGAACACGCAGTTTCCGCGTGCTCCGTCAGGGTTCATACAGGGCAGTTTTTGGGGAGTTCTTTGGCATTCCCCGGAAGGATTGAGATTGTGGAATGTTAGTCCCTGAAGTTCAAGCGTTTGTTTCGTAAAGAGAAGCACGTCTGGATTGGATGCAGTACCTGTGCCTGTCCGCGGAGCAGATTGCCTTGAACAGAAACACATGCAATGGAAACGTCTGGTGCGAAATCTGGATGCATGTGAGTGCAATCCTACCGATCATTTTTTGTTCCAGTCAGCCTCAGACATCATGCCGGCTTGACACTTGCAATTTTTTCTTTTTGCGAAAGCTTCCATCCACCTTGAAGCCCCAAAGGCGAGGCCCCTCAACCTTTAGCACTAAATCCTAAAACCTTTCACAACCTAACAGATTCCGGCTGTCTAATGCAGCTTTGAACGCAAACTTACTGGTTGTAGTACCATGCGGGTTAGGTTTTTAGGTTGAAGGGAATGGAGGAAGGGATAATGATAAGGTAGTTTCCAGTTTGTTTTTGATTCCCTCATTCACTGCTAACAGCCAGCAACATGTCACTGTAGCCTCCTGTATAAGCCCATTTCCCCTTTGATGTTCCGTTTTCATTTTCAGTTGATTCTCCATAAGTGTGGTGGTATCCCTATATGTCCCTATAGAATCCGAATGTAACCTTATACATACTAACATAGTAGTTTCATGTCGTCCTTCTTTTCCACTACTGGGTCAATGACCCTAAGCCCCAAGCCCCGTGCATACGCTATATATATATATATACTTTTATAGTCCCCCTTACGTAGATAGAATATAGCTTGGGGTATATTGTAATAAGATCCCCATATACCCCATATTCTATCTACTTACGGGGCACCCTACACTAGTTTCCATTGTAGGCTCCGCTTTCTTGCATTATGAAGTAAGCCTAAACCCCAAGCCTTTCAAAGCTGAGGAGCCCGCGAGGCCAGAATCCATGATTGGGAGTGTGGACGATGACCAGGTGGACCATTCTCAAGACTATGGGAGCTTGTAGAGTTTAGGGTTGAAGATTCAGGGCTTAGGGTTTAGGACACATCACCCCCAAGGGGGTTTAGGGTTTAGGATCTCTCACGCAAAATAGGCTTTGGGGTTTAGGAACTGCAGAATTATGGGCCCTGTGATGCTGTAGTGGTACAAGGCCCAACAGTGGAAGATTGGAAGGAAAGGGAGATGAAACATGAAATGGAGACTACTGGGGTTTATGGGCCAGTTGGGGTAACTTGGAATTGTCGAATGGCAACCAGACCAGGGCCATAGTTTTTGACATACCCAGGTATGAAAGAGACATTTGCAAGAACGGCTTACCGCTTACCTTCCCTGACATCTGCAAAAGCAAGAACCCGGTAAGGGTATATGGGGCGTAGGGTTTAGGAGCATTCACCCAAGAAGGGAAGATCACATGGAACATATGGAACATGAAATGAGCCTATTAGTTTTGGGTCATGTAGGCTAATTACAAGGGTTATACGTGATTTGTACCTAAACTGCGAAGCGTCTCAGTGTTCTGATGCTTGCTGGGGCTTTCTGGGAGTGTTGATTTGCAGCCAACACGATTTCGCCTGGCATTCTTAGATCCTTCATTCACTCCAGCTTGTGTGTTCCTATATTATGGTATATTCTGGTATATTATCGTATATCATAATCTAATTTTGCAGGCCCAACGACTCATTTGGAACTAAGCCTACGCCCCCCTGTGCATGGATCAAGTTACGACACCTAGTATTAAGGGGTATCCAAAATGGACCCTAATTTTTTGAATTATTCGTATGTCTCGATCAACAGTTTACTGCCCAGGTCTCTGAGGCGTTGCCGGTTTCTGAAGCAGCTGGATTCTTTCCGTCCGACTGTGAGGGAATCTTTTCTGATGAGAACAAGGCATCCCCGCGGAGCCCCACTTTCAAGGGTAACTATAGGGATCATAGGTTTTATAGGGGTGAAACAGAGGTTATATAGGGATTATATTGGGGTTTTATGGGGAGAATGGAAAAGAAAATGGCAACTACTATATTATAATGGGGTATATATGTATATATAATGATGGGTGTTCAGGGTAGTTCGTGAAAGTGCCATTGTACTCCTTAGCTTGTCGCGGATCATGGGGCTCCGGAAGTAGGATTTTTCAAAGTTAACTTCAATTAAAGCAGGACTCTCTTTCTAGACTTGTTCCAAGCCTGCCAGAAATTCTTAGGATTTTTGAAGCTTTTGAGGTAGCTTTGCAGAGCTTGACAAGCTTACGGGTCGCCAACCTCAACTACCCGAAGACAGACCTCCACCAAAACATGCCTGTGCCGCTAAACATTCAAAGCGCAAAAGTTCCAGGGCTTAGCATCTGCGCCAGGATCCATTTCCAGTCAACTACAAGAAAGAGCTCATCGTTTTTTGGATGTGTATAGTGACCTTTCATTAAGAATCGCTTGCATAAGAGAGTTACTGGGGAGAGGCGGCCTCTCCAAACCGCCAAGACCAGGCATACTGATCTCCGAAGACTTGCAAATATCCCAATCCTAAACATCCCCTAAACCCCAATTTAAGTGAGCGAGGTCACAATACGTTTTCACGTCTGGCATTCAGGACTCATCAGCTCGTGGTTCAGACCATCCTTATTGGGTTTGCAAAAGCGTTGCTGGAGTCCTCCCAATACACGGGCCTCGCAGTGTAAGGAAGAAGGCAGACTAATGGAGATTTCTCAGTCGGGATGTGAAAGCAGGGGAATGGCTGAATCCGTTGCAATCCTCTTCTCCATCTTCGTCACTGCCGCTACCATTATCTGTGGCCTTGCTACGATTGATGCTATTTTGGTCACTATGATTGAACATCTGCCGCTTCATCATCGCCAAAATATGGTACTTTCCATAAATAAAGGACCCCAATGTCATATCATAGTCTTTACCTGAAAAGGGTACCCCTAATTTTGGGAGCCTCCATAGTATCCAAGGTTAGAAGTATGGGCCCCGAATACGGGCCCTTCGGCCTTTTGGGGGATTCTTGGGACCCTTCAGGATACATATAGGTTTTTTTGGTAGGTATATGAGGATCCCAGGGTTAAGTGCCCATGCCAGCGGCCCATGGTTTCAACCTTAGATAGTATACTGACCGTTTCAGGCGCCTGTCTCGGAAGATGAGATCGGCAGCGAGCTCTCAGATACCCTCGTTTGCACCTCACCTGAGTCATCAATTGACATTGCGGTTATATTGGGGATTTATTGGGGTTATGTAGGGATATATAGGGACTTTATAGGGATAATGGAAAATACAACGGGAACTGCTATTTACCGGTACCTCAGAGAAACGATAGTATCAGTCGTGGTGAGAATGTACATGTCATTAAGAATTCCATCTATAGAGGCGGAATGAGCAATTGCGCTGGGCTCTTGAGGAATTCAGGGTGCGGTCATTTGGTTGCGGTCTTTGGTTTTGACCAAGTTTCACATGAAACCGGTGGCATGCTTCTCAATGACAGATTGGACTTGACATGTGGTTTTGTTGGTCAGCCCACGGCGTGCTTGTTACATTCGATGATTTCAGGTCAGAGGGTAATTACAGAGGGCTGTAAGGCAAATTGCAAGGGCTGGTAACGGGAGTTGCGCTTGCATCATCTCTACCCACCCATGCAAACGTGGTGCTCTGTGAGTGGCCCGGGTTTGCGATTTTTTCCTTGCGCCGTGTTCTTGTCATGCTTTGGATTTGGCGATTATGTGGAACTATGGAACTAGCAGTTGCGCCTTTCAAGAGGCATGAGCTATCATCCCACTGCGAGAGGGTACAGCAGAAGAGCATGTCAGTTTTACAATCTCATGAGCTTTCAAGTCAGCGTCAGTCATGATGCATATAGGGAAAGGGAATCCAGGCTGTCGCCAACCAAACCGCGCAGTATCTCTCTTCATACACAGCCTTCTTGCCCACAACCTTTGTGAACACAGGAAAGCGATTAGCGCGGCCCCAACCACTTGACTGGCATTCTGAACCTGGTGCCCTGCAACCCCCACGCCTCAACCTCTCAAGTCCTCATAGCCTGAAATTACAGCATCCTGCAGTACATGGCTTCGGGCCAAGGGCTGCATTTATCGCGGGTCGTTGTTGAAACAGAGGGCTTTGTATTTTCAGGATGTACGCCCGCTCTGTGTTGGCCTTCGTGCAAAATCCTGTCCCAAGTGTGATTTTGGGTGGTAGGACCCAAAAGTTTACCCTACGCGTGGAAATTCCGAGAGAGCACACAAACCCCTATGAACACCTCGTAACTCTCAGTCTGCTCCACCAGGTTCCGAAAGTGCAGCTGGCAGGAGCCAGGTGGACCGAAAAATTGGGATTGATGCTGGTGCTGCTGGTGGAGGTGGAGGTGGTTGTGGAGGATCAAGTGGTGCTGGTTGTGGTTCTGGTGCTGACGCAGTGTTGATGGGTTGTGGCAGGAGAGGGGGAATTGGCAACAGGCAGGAAAAGCAGTGCTGTTCGTCCTCTTCTTAGCAGAGGTAGCAGCGTTTTCTGGGCATTGCAGGTGGTTACACCTGTTGTTTTTTGTTTCAAATTGTTGTTTTTTTCATACAATCTGCACAATTCTTTGTAGCAGATTAGGGACTGGTTGCTTCTTGCCCAGCTGCCAGGGCACCATTTGACTATTTGGAAAGGCCTGCAGGATTCACAACACTTGGCATCGTATTTCGAGCTTAGGTGGAGGGACTTTGGTTGACATGTTGACACTTTTTTTGTAGCGGGGCTCTAGTTGAACAGTTCTCTGCTAATTTTGAAACTACTCAGTGCAGCCCAGGCTTACCGCAGTAAGGGTTGTGGTCTGGAGCTCACGCAAGCTCAAGTCAGGCTTTGGCTTGAGAGATTGTTACGGGGCCAGGCTTTAGTCTCCACCAGATTTCCATTTTGGAGAAACTGAGGAGGCCTGCAGAAGGCCCGAACCAGCTCCGCACTCAGGATTTTGCTC